ATATATATAAAAATATTCTTTATTAAAATAAATTTTATCTTTTTTAACAAAACATGTAATGCAAAATCTGACGTGTATGTGGTTAGTGATTCAGAAAATGAATGTCTGCCCTTAGGAGCTGCTACTGGGAGTGAGCATGGCTCTTTGTTTCTTTTTGCAGATGCCTACATTTTACCTTCAGTATTTTTGTATCTCTTAGATCAGAATTACAAGCTTACTTGGCTATTCTTAATTGAAGAGGCTATGATTTTATTAGTAGAGCAGATAAATGCTTTATAAGTTTTTGCATCTGATAGTGCCTGTCCTGCCAACGTAGTCACGTACAAATTTTACTAATTCATTAATCCTCACATCCTTCAAAGTCTGTTCTAAAAAAAAATAAGCAGCTTGTTGTTTTATTTGTTGTGAAAATAAAAGAACTATAGTAAGTAAAAAAATAATCTGTAATTGTGTTTGTCTGCACTGTTTGTTTGGTGTACCTACCCGATGGTGTAAGGYAACCTGAACACCAGCAAGGCAGGTGAAGAGGCATTGAGTCTGAGTTGGCTCAGGGTCTCAGGGTCCATGTATAAAGAAGAAACTTGTAACTGGTCTTGTAGATGACCAATCACAGCATTGGAGGCAGGCCAAGACACAGCAGGTAACACCAGAGAGGAGGAGGAGGACTGCAGAGCTCCCTGTGACACAGACAAAAAGGTCAGGATCGGGCAAAACGATTGTATGGCTGTTTGTCCACGGGCAATAATGTCTGCTTTAATCAAGGATTACATTTGTATTTGGATTTACATTTTTGCTCAGGATGGGAGACAGAGAATAAGGAAGATAGAGAATATGAACGAGTTAAATAACAAAACAATCTGCTATAAAGCAGCATGAACATTTTTTCTTAATACATTGAGATTACACAGCAAACCCAAACCCATCAGTGTGTGTTCAGCACTGGTTAATTGATGTAGGCTTCGACTAATTCTAATGCTACGTTCACACCAAACGTGCTTTGAGCAGCAAAAAAGCGCCCACCACCACCAGTTGGACACACTATGTTCAGACCAGGACAGGGACTAGAGGTGCATCTGAAGAGGGAGGAGCGTCTTGGTTTTTTTCCGGTCTGCCCTCGGCGGGTGAAATAAAGATAAAATAAWTAAAATGGCTTTGATTTATTTACTAAAGAGCAAGCGAACGTTGCGCACAGCAGATAATTAACTCACCAGATGATTTAGAGGCGATTTGTTCGGTTAGTTTTGCCACTCCAGAAGCTGCGAGCTGACGGACTAGCAGCTGACCCACATAGGTACCGATATATCCAGCCAGAAAATCTAACTGCAGACGGTCGATTTCGGCTAAAGAGCTCCTGTCCGTCTGTTCCAGTTTAGTGGGCAACATTCAGGAAACTGTCATGTGGAAAAATGAGGCTCTCTGATTGGTTGTCAAGACACGTCAAGCGGCAAAAGTTCATATTTTTTAACTCGGGCGTAGGGATGGGAAATCATCCCTATTTTCAGATCATAAGATCATGATCACTGGCTATCGCTGATAGACGATCCAATCGGCTGATAAGGCATGCACAGTTACGTTGTTAAAAAAGGAAGAAAAAAAAACAAGCAGGTCCGCTTATTATAAGTGACGGCTTCGTTTTTTCTAAAGTCGCTTGTAAATTCCGTGAGTGGCAGGTTGCGTTTTTTTTTTTTGGCTTATTTTTTAACGTGAGTTGCTTATTTTGTGCTCGTCTTTCTTTCTGAACGACATGCTTAACTCTGCTCCTGTTGAAGCAGAACACAAGGAGCAGTGGGTTTGTCCCTCCCACTCCCTCGTTTCCTGGTTGTCGCTCCGCCCGAGTTGAGTCGGCACACTTCAAACACACCAGAGCCCAGAGTGACGGGGAAAAGCAGGGGTGAGGCAGTGCGCTCCGGTCCGGTTCACAACTGCTTAAAGTTATTTGTCATGGATTATTCGTTTTGTAGGGCTGCAACTAACGATTATTTTAATAATCGATTAATCTGTTGATTATTTTTTCGATTAATCGCCCAAATC